GCGTTACTTCCTGCTGGTGGTTGACGACTACTCGCGCTACACTACAATCCTCCCCTTGCGCAGCAAGGGTGAGGTCACTGAGGTGTTGATCGCCTGGATCCGCGCAGCTCGTCTCCAGCTCTGAGACAGTTTCGGCTCGGACTTTCCTATTCTGCGTCTGCACTCCGACAGAGGCGGAGAGTTTTCCTCTGACCTTCTGCGAGCCTTCTGTCGTGCGGGAGGCATCCGCCAGACGTTCACACTTCCGGCCTCTCCACAGCGAAATGGGATTGTTGAGCGCCGCATTGGCATGATCATGGACGTCGCTCGTACGTCCATGATCCATGCGGCTGCTCCCTATTTTTTGTGGCCGTTCGCGATTCAGTAGGCGGCGCATCAGATCAACCCCTAGCCCCGGGTCTCCATGTCGGAGACCTCCCCTACTCTGCGATGGACGGGGAAGGTTGGCGATGCGTCTGCGTTCCGTGTCTGGGGATCTCGGGCGTTCGTTCGCGACTTGTCTGCGGACAAGCTGTCCCCCCGTGCTGTTCCCTGCGTCTTCCTTAGCTTACCCCCTGACGCGCCTGGTTGGCAGTTTTACCACCCCACCTCGCGCCGTGTTCTGTCCTCTCAGGACGTCACGTTTGACGAGTCGGTTCCCTACTAGCGTCTCTTCCCCTACCGCACTGCACTCCTCCCCCCGTCGCCGCTCTTCCTCACGCCAGGTCCCCCCCCCCGGTAGACCCCCTTCCCCCTCGGGGTCTTGCCCCCTCAGGTGTGTCCTAGGTAGACGCAGTCGAGCCTGTCGAGGTTGCTGTTGACTCGGGTGCTGCTGGGGGTGCTGAGCCAGGGGTTGCTGACTCTGAGGGTGCTGAGCCTGGGGGTGCTGAGACTGAGGGTGCTGAGCTTGGGGGTGCTGAGACTCGGGGTGCTGAGCCTGGGGGTGCTGAGCCTGCTCATGTGGCGTCTGGCGGGACAGGGCCTGGAGGTCCTTTGGGTGCTTCGTCCCGGCGAGATCCCCTCTCTCCACAAGAGCCGCGCGAGTGGTTTGCTTGGCACTGGAGCCGTGCTGCTAGAGCTGGAGGTGCTGCTGGAGCTGGAGGTGCTGCGGGTGTTGGAGGTTCTACTGCTACTGAGGGTGCTGGTGCCGCGGGTCCCGGAGGTGCTCGTCCTGAGGATGCTGCTGGAGCTGCTGGGCTTGCGGGTGCTCCTGGTGCTGGAGCTGGTGGTGCTGCTGGCGTCGGTGCTGCTGGAGCTGGAGCTATTGCGTCTTCTGGTGGTCCAACTGGAGCTGGAGCTGCTGGGGGTGTTGGCGCTAGAGGTGCTACTGGCGCGGGTGCTTCTGAGGGTACTGGAGGTGCTGGAGTTGGCGCTGCTGGAGCTGAGGGTGCTACTGGTGCTGTTCCTGCTGGTTCTGGTGGCCCTGCGCGGCCGCGGCCGTACTTCGTTCCACTCCTTGAGCACGTTCTTGGTCTTCCGTCCTCTCTTCGTCCTGCTCCTCTCTTAGAGTGTCTGTCCCCAGTCCAGTCTGAGTCACAGTTACAGCCAGCCTCCCCACTGCCTGCTCCTTCTCCCTACACTGGTCCTACTGGAGGTCTTGCTGAGCGTCGTACGCCTGCGTCTCGCCCTGCGTCGCCTGTCCGTGCTGCTCGCACTGGTGGTCGTGGTTCGCGTCAGCGTCCTCCACCTGTCCCCGGCACGCACCGGATGTCTCTGCGTCCTTCCACTGCTCCACTGCGTGCCCCTTTACCTTCTCCTCGTGAGTCCTCTCTTCCTCCTCTTGCAGACCCGCAGTCGGACTCCCTTCGTGCTGCCAGTCCTACTGTCACGCGTCTCCTTGCTAATGTTTTCATTGACCCTTCCTTTGAGACCACTGCTGCGTCTGCCTTAGTTGCTGAGCTTGTCGACTTACGCGGAGGCGATAGAGTGTCCCTACTCCTCTCAGTGGCAAGCTGCCATGGACGCAGAGATGGCTTCCTAGAAGTCTAAAGGATCCTACGTTGATGAGGTTCCCCCACCTGGGGCGAACAACGTCAGTGGCATGTGGATCTTCAGGGTGAAGCGGCCACCGGGTTCTCCGCCTGTCTTCAAGGCGCGTTACGTGGCTCGTGGCTTCAGTCAGCGGCAGGGAGTTGACTACTTTCAGACCTTCTCTCCCACCCCGAAGATGACCACTCTTCAGGTACTGCTGCACGTAGCTGCTCACCGTGACTACGAGCTACACTCTCTTGACTTCAGCACTGCTTTCCTGCAGGGCAGTCTGCACGAGGAGATCTGGCTGCGCCGCCCACCTGGCTTCACTGGGACTTTTCCTCCTGGCACCCAGTGGAGCCTCCGACGGCCAGTCTACGGTCTCCGCCAGGCACCGCGTGAGTGGCACGACACACTGAGGAATACACTTGCGGCTCTTGGGTTTGCTCCCTCTACTGCCGACCCGTCGCTGTTTCTGTGCACCGACACTTCTCTGCCGCCGCTCTACATCCTCGTGTACGTCGACGACTTGGTCTTTGCCACAGCTGACACTGCTGGACTCGCCCACGTGAAGTCCGAGCTGCAAAAGAGACACACGTGCACTGACCTGGGTGAACTGCGCAGCTACCTTGGCTTGCAGATCACCCGGGACAGAGCACGCTGCACCATTACCCTGACTCAGTCACACATGGTGCAGCAAGTCCTTCAGCGCTTCGGCTTCACGTACTCCTCGCCTCAGGCCACTCCTCTGCCTACTCGCCACTCGCTCTCAGCTCTGCCTTCGGATGAGTCCGTAGAGTCGAGTGGTCCGTATCCAGAGCTTGTTGGCTGCCTCATGTACCTGATGACCTGCACACGACCTGACCTTGCATACCCTCTTACCATTCTCGCATGCTATGTTGCTCCTGGGAGACACATACCAGAGCACATGGCTGCAGCGAAGAGGGTGTTGCGCTACTTGTGCAGTACGTCGGGCATGGGGCTTGTGCTTGGAGGGCGGAGTCCAGTGGTCCTCAGTGGTCACGCAGACGCGTCTTGGGTTGACGACTTGGCTAGACAGCGGTCGTCACAGGGTTACACCTTCAGCCTTGGTTCCGGTTCTGTTTTGTGGCAGTCTACCCGCTCGTCTTCTGTTCTCAGCTCCAGCTGTGAGGCTGAGATCTACGTAGGGGCCATGGCTGCACAGGAGTTATGCTGGCTCACCTACTTGCTGACTGACCTCGGAGAGTCGCCTCGTTCTCCTCCAGTTCTGTACGTAGACAACAAGGTCATGATGGCCTTATGTCGTGAGCACAAACTGGAGCACAGAACGAAGCTCATTGCTCTTTGCTACTTCCTTGCTCGTGAGCTGCAGCAGCATGGTCAGCTACGACTTGCTTACGTGGCCTCTCAGGCCAACACTGCTGATATCTTCACCAAGGCACCTGCGCCTTGTGATCATCAGCGCTTCTGTACTCTGTGAGGTCTTGTACCTACTTTGCCTCACTTGCTCACTTCTTGACCTTGCTTGTACCTTGACCTATATATACTTGCACTTGCATGTTTAGCTTTATATATATACACCTGCATGTGAACTGGCCTTGTGGCCCTTGAACTTGTGCTCAGAATGTGTGGTGACGTTGTGATCCACCCTGAGCTTGCTGTGCTTTGCTTGACTGGTCTTGTGACCCCTTTTTCTCACACTTTGCCTATGGGGGTGTGTCAAACTTATATGCTTTAGTCTATATAGGCTGTAGTGGGGTAGCTTATATGGGGTACAACACTCTAGGGTTTGGTACTTGTACTCCTCATGCTGCTCAATGCAATCATTACTTGTTATTCTCACAAACGCTACACAGGGATGTCGAAGGGGACTAGAAGCATATCTCCTCGCTGGCCGTTGGAGATATGGACGGCGAAGGCGCGTAGGACTGCCTCCGCACCTTCTTCTCTGGTGTGCACATCAGACGGTCCACAAGGTCCGGGTTCCCCAGGCGCTTAAGCGTGACAACGTCACGCGGAGCAACTCCCTTTGCGCTGGCAAGCCTTGTGTAGGCAAAAGATGCCATACGCATGAACGTGCGGCGAGCCATGTCATCCCATGAGACGCGGCCGTCACTGCTTGTATCATCTACGAGACTGATGACCGGCTCAAGAACGCCTTCGGTCGTAACCTCGTCAACTTCGTCATCCCAAGTCGCATAGTCCATTGCTTCCAGCACGCTGTCAGGGAGGTCCAACTTCTCCAGCTTCCTCTGCAGGCCCATGAGGTTAGCAACGAGTTGCTCCACAACCTCGACATGCATGTCGCTGGTGATCGCGTGAAGCTGAGATAACCAATCGTCCGGGACGCACCTAGTGCGCCAAAACGTGAGCTGAATGTGGGATGTCGCCACCCCCCAAAGCGCTTCGTACATCCACTGCAATGTCTTCGCGGCCCAAGGAGAGTTACTCTTCCACACCTATGCTGGAGGCACGCGCGTCATGAAGCGCGTCTGGTGGTCCACCCACATTGAACGGAATTCAGACTTAAAGAATGCAACAATGCCCTGCACCACCGGGTTCCCCACGTCCGGAATAGTATCATGCAGCTGCACAATGCGAGTATGGGTTAGGTGGTGCTCCAGGAACGGCCCATTCGTCTACAGCTTGCCCTCTCCCCATGTGAGCTTGTGCCTACGCGAGGACACAAGGACGGCGATGTCATGGGCCTCGGCCGATTTCGCAGCGTTGAGGCCAAGCATGAACTGTGTGAACAGCTGCACAGAACAATAAAGAGTATCACAGAGATATTTAATTGGCACCAACTACTCAAGTCCATATGGCGGAGACATTTATTTGTCATGTAGATCGGCATCACCTCGGGTGTTATGCGGCCGGACCGAGTACGGCGGATGTACGCCCACTCGTCGCCATTCACATCGTATCCCAGCTGCATTGGCTCCCAATCGCGGCTTACAACAATGGGCCTGAAGCGTTGTGCGCCGTCGGCGGAATAGAGAAGGCTGACACACAGCCTCTTCAGCTCTGTTACATTCCCCCCGTCGAACGGATGCAGGTTACTACACCTCATGTGCCAACCAAATCATCCGGAGGTGGACAAAGAGGCGGCTAGACATGCGCTTATCAAAGCCACAACGGTGACCATGGAGGTGAGTCCCTGGATCGACGCTGGCTCAAACTCATCTAATTTGTTGCTATTACAGTAGCTTATTCTGATGACTTTGATCTTCGGAGCTGAAATGTGCGTAGGGTCACCAGATCCCCAAACAACCAAACAGCTGGGACTGCGGTGTGTACATGTGCCAGTATCTCGAAGCTCTGGTTACATCCGGGTTCGTGACTGTGTGTGAGTATATATTGTTTAAGGGAGTGAGCGTGGAGAGGTACCGCCACAAGATGTGTGCAGATCTTTGTTCTCATGCCGAGGGAACGCTGATACCCGAGCTGCAGCGCCAGGGTCTCCGCATCCCTCAGTAGCCTGTTCCCGTTATCGACGACAACGGGTACATGTGCGTCGACCCACCCGTGGACATCCGAAGAGAGCTACTCGACCACAAACAAAATTTCGTAGTGCTGGAGCATGACATACAGGTTCTTACGGCCAAGATCGAGTATCTGGCCATCAGCAAACGCGTGACGTCGGAGCAGCTGGACGCAGGAGTGCGCCAACACCTCGGTGCCGTGGCCGAAACGTTGGTGCCGACGGCGACTCCACGGAAGCAGGCCACGGACGGAAGTGGCCAGATAGAGAGCGCGAGGACTCCTCAGCCTCGTGCACTGGCGGCAGTGCCTGCAATCTCTCCCTGCCCTGCACCGCGCACACCTGTCACCAAAGATGGCGTGGTACCTGCCGACGAAGCGACACTTGCTGTGGTCCGGCATCAAGAGCGCGGCCACCTTGCACTGGCCTTGCGCAGCCGCGCCTCGACTCCCGTGCCTGCCGCTCCAGGTAACCCCGGAAGGGCCGCAAGCAGCGGAAGGACGGGAGTTATGTGGAACGCAGCGAAGCAGAGGTACTACGTGCGGATCATATCTGCTCGCTGGCAGCAGGTTTGTATGGGGTCGTACGAGGACAAGGATGAGGCATCTTACGCATAAGTTGCGGGGGCCGTTGTCCTTCGCCCTAACTCCCGCATCAGCTGCACGGTGCAGCTGTCCGACGGGGAGAGGCAGGCGCTAGCCGGCTGCACTGAGGAGAGCCTAAGGCTTCTCATGAAGTACAGGCGCTGGAACAGATGGAAGGAGTGGAGAGCCGCTCTGGAGGGTCTAGATGATGCCCAGCCGCCCGAGGCCCGTTCGCGGCGAAAGGGGCGGGTCTCCCGAGTCATGCATGACGTGGAGGAGGTGGAGGCGACCACGCCCGCTACACAGGACCACCCTATGGCTGAAGAACCTGAGGATCCACACGAGGAGTCCGTTGACGATGATGTTGTATATGAACCAGAGGGCGATGGCATAGAGGATGAGGATGACTGGGAGGAGGTCAACCATGATGACACTGCTGCATGAAGCCATGAATAGGGAAGCCATTGGACCAACCGATGTTTTAGATAAGTGCTGATCTTGTCAGGCCTGGGTACGGGTGCAGGTTAGTTTGGCGTGGTTTGGAGGTTGCTGAATGTAATACGACATGTGAAATGTCTCAGTCTGGACGCTGTAAATATATGTCGCATCACCGTATACGGGGACAGATGTAGAACATGGAAAAACCATTGTGGTAAGTGGTACAGCATCAGTTTGTGATTGAACTTATGTGGTAAGAAGCAGATGTCGCAAGTGGTGAAATGATGCTGTGGGTGTGTGGTGTATCGCGTCTAACATAGACGAGGACGAGCATGGGGTGTCTCGATCGTGGCACGACCACATTTTCCATGTGCAAAGTATGGCTGACATTGAATGGTAATCCACCTGGCCACTCCAACCGTGACATGTGTACATGTGTGCGCGTGGCCAATAAGTTGGGGCAATTTATGTGGCCTGCAAACCCGGTAGCAGGCATCGCGATATCCTCGAGGGTGGTGATGGGACTCGTGCGAGCGTGAGTAGAACACCAAGCTGGTTTTTACCCACGCAGTTTCGAGCCCGCGGTGTATGTGGTCTTTGATTCTGTCTCCGCTGGAGGTCGAGATGAGTCCTGCAGAGGGCGGTCGTTCCAAGCGAACGAAGAATGCGCCGTCATGGTTGGCGTATACATATCAATACCCGGAGAGGAAGAAGAAAGGGGGAAGCGTAACGGAGCCCAAGTGGCGCAAGACTAGTACAGTTAAGAGTGACAAGGAGGATAAGGAGGCAGAGCATAACGAAGGTAACACTTGGGCGACGTGACAATTATATGGCCTTTGCTGTTGACGTGATAATGCATGACACTGGGAGTGAGGCCGTATGTGCACGCAAAACTAACATCGTACTACATTCCACACCCACTGTCCCAGAGGCTCAAGAACTGCCGCTCCAGCTATGCAACGCCAAGGTTGTCGGGGGCGTCGACGCGGAGGCAACCTCCACGCCCATTGTCGCGAGCGCACCCCCTGTGGGGGTCGACACCGAGGCCGTGAAGGAACGCTTGATAGACGAGTTAATGGAAGGCGAAGAGGAGGGCAACGAGGAGGGACACGCTGGTGGTCAGTCGTCAAGCAACGATCCGTGTGGGGAAGACGGATCAGAGGACGAGCACGCCCCGAAAGTGCCATCTTCGAGGAAGCGGAAAGCAGCAACCGGTGGCCACGTCACACGCAAGGAGTTTGAGGCGTTGCGTGTCTGCGAAGGATACCGCGAAGACAATGGCTCGTCTGGAGTCACACGTACTAACAATCATTGCCCTTGGCGAGGGGCGCAAGCGCAAGCGGGCATCTCCGGGTGCGGCGGCCACTCTTGGCAAGGAAGCTCTGAAGCGGAAACGCCAGTCAGATGATGACGAGGAATCCACGTACGATGAAGACGAGTTGCCGGCAAAAGTGGCGAGGCACATGACTACCGACAAGTCGCTAGTGCTCCAAAGCGCCCTTGAAATCCTTTCCGCAGAGAAGGCTTGGAAGGTGAGGCTTCGCATAGTGTGCTCTGGTAACTTCATGGTAGGGTACTCAACAGCAATACAGATTTCGTCACCATATTCCACCCCCCCCGCAACACTATTTTCATTGTCGCAGGGTGTTTGCGACCTGGTAAAGGATCATCTATTTCTAGAAGCCCCGAACGAGAAGATGGACTTCTATCCGAGCCGCGACGCCAAAAACGCCGGCGTCTGCCATGTCATGTCCACCATTCCTCCCAAAACTGCGACACTGGCGTTAGACGCGGATAAGTCTCGAAGGCAGGATCGGAACAAGACCTTGTCAGAGCACAAAACAGGGTTGGCCGGTCGCGCTCGCGGAGTTTTTCTTCCCCGGATGGGTCTATTCCGTGACGACGAGGACCGAGCCAGTCCTTGGGCTCGTAAGAAGGAGCGCACTGGGGAGAGTGCCCGAAAAAGATATGGCGTTCCCGTCACAGACGATGGTGCGTGTACGCGTGTCATATGGTCGGTGCATTGAGGGCCGGCATGAGTGCCATGCCATAGTGGACCACTACGGCCATTGAACCCTCTCCCTCCCCCATGCGCGGTATCATTGTACCCATATTATATTCCACGTGCGCAGCGGAACCTGCCTTGTGCAATTGGCACATCAGCAAGGAAGGACTGCCCTTTGCTTCTGGAGCGTTCTCGGCATGTGCCATCGCAGCGTTCAGAGGGAAGCGCTCTGACAAAGAAACAACTCTAAAGCTCTACCACATGTCGTGGCTCGAGCACCTGGTACGTTTACACTGTTGCGCACATTTGTTGTAGCCACGTCCGTACAAGCCTCCGTTCTAAGTGTGTTTTTTTTTGCCGTCGCAGATCACGGACGCCATTATCAACTGGGAGGTGTGCAAGGGGAAACTCTACAACCCTCCGTACGAGGACGGCGCTTCTGTGCGCCGAATTCAGAAGCTGGCCTTTGATGCCATTGCAGATGTCATGTGCGGGAATGAAGTGGCCTACGATGAGGAAAAGAAGTCCTGGAAGTGGGGCAGGCATGGGCTCCGTCTATCATCTTGCGGCCTGGAATGCCTCCTGGAAGATGAAGCATCCTCCAAAGATGACCATCAGGAGTTCGATGAGTCTGATGAGTTGGAGAGTGAATCCGATGAGTGCCCTACTAAGGGTTGTTTGGCCAATTATGTGTCGTAGATTGGTGTAGTGCCTTAGTGGGAGGAGGCGGTATTTGTTGTTCGTTCGGTGCATATGTGCAATAAATCGAGGACATATATGTTGGATTCTTTTAACACATGGAGGAGACCGTGGTCAACCTAGACACGAGAATGGTGTTACTACAGTTCCGCGCATCACGGCGAGAATTATGGCGCAATGTGCGGCGAGAAATACGGCGGGGTTAATAGGGGCCGTCAAATGCCATGCTAGTCTAAAGACGTGGAGAAAGAGCAACCGTACATCCCTCCCAGCCACTCGTCAACGATACGTTACTTATAGGGTGCCGGCATCAGTGTCCAATTTTATGTTTGCCACATGGGTGATGCAGATGGTCACATGTGTGTTATCGTGAGGTCCGCGACGATCTCACGTGTATGTGAGATTGGCAGATGTAGTCCTAGTTGGACTTGGAGTATCTCCGATCGGGCTGCATGTGTAGGTACAGGTGGATTGCACTACAAATCTTGGGAGAACATTTGTAACGTACGGAAGGTCGCGATGTGGCGTATCCGTTTGAGTTTTGTAGGTTGGCGGCGTATCCGGAGCAGCCATGTGCCGGCTCCTGTTTGGCAAACCCTGATTGCCATGAGACAATCGCCATCGTACAAGTGTGGCCATCTAGACCCTACATGCGGCACGACACGATTCGTTAGGGAAGGGCATCCACCTGGCATAAAGCGTCATTACACGTGGAGATATTTTGCTGACGTAGAATAGTGACTTCATGTATGCTTCAATGCAGCTATGTGGCAACACACATGTGTAACCGTGGAGTGTCATCACGGTGACGCAAATGTCACCGACGAACACATGACGTAAAAGCGGCCCCCATGACGCTGAGCGTGTTGCGGCAGTGTTGCGGGACCCGTTGCTAGAAAGCTGCGGGAAAGTTGTGGGAAAGCCACTTTCCCTGTAACCCCAACAAAGAAGCGTTTGACCTAGACTTTTTTCTTGCAAAACAAAAGTTTCGTGAAAGCAACTTTGTCTTAGGAACTTAGGCATGAAAGAGTTGACTATCGAGTGAAAGGTACAAGGTGATATACCCCTCAAAGTCTACCCCACTACAGCCTACCAACAAATATAATATATATGCATATCTTAGACACACCCCCATAGGCAAAGTGGGGGAGAGCAAGAGGTCACAAGACCAGTCAAGAAAAGCAAAGCAGGCTCAGGGTGGATCACAACGTCACCACACACACTGAGCACAAACAAAGGGCCACAAGGTCAGTTCATATGCAGAGATATATATGCAACAACAACAGCACAGTGATCTGTACCTACCAGGTACAAACAAACAGGTATATATATACATTTATATACATATATGTATAGATCACAGTACACGCAGAGCCTACAGCAAGTGAGGAAACGTAGGCACAAGGCCCAACAAAGCACAAAAGCGCTGATGATACCAGACGGAAGAGCCTTGGTGAATATATCAGCAGTGTTGGTCCGAGTGGCCACGTGAGCAAGACAAATTTGACCCCGCTACTGCAAATCTCAAGCCAGGAAGTAACACAGAGCGATGTGCTTCATTCTGTGCTCCTCACAAAAGGTAGTGGCTGCCTTGTTGTCGATGTACAGAACTGGAGGAGAACGAGGTGCCTTGCCCAGGTCGGTCAACAAGTAGGTGAGCCAACGCAGCTCCTGTGCAGCCATGGCTGTGGCGTGGATCTCAGCCTCACAACTGGAGCTGAGAACGGAAGACGAGCGAGTAGACCGCCAAGAGACTGAACCGGAGCCAAGGCTGTGACGACCGCTTTGTAGCCAAGTCGTCAACCCAAGAGGCGTCTGCGTGACCAGAGAGAACAACTAGACCCCGTCCCCCAAGCACAAGCCCCATGCCCGACGTATTGCACAAGTAGCGCATCACCCTCTTAGCTGCCTTCCAGTGCTCTGGACGGTGTCTCCCGGGCGCAACGTAGTGTGCCAGGATGCTAAGAGGGTAAGCAAGGTCAGGACGAGTGCAGGTCATCAGGTACATGAGGCAGCCTACAAGCTCTGGATACGGCCACTCGGCTCTACGGACTCATCCGAAGGCAGAGCTGAGAGCGAGTGACCGGTAGGCAGAGGAGTGGACCGTGGCAAGGAAAACTGGAAGTCGAAGCGCTGAAGGACCTGCTGCACCATGTGTGACTGAGTCAGGGTGATGGTGCGGCGTGCTCTGTCCCGAGTGATCTGCAAGCCAAGATAGTTGCGTAGCTCACCCAGGTCTGTGCACGTGTGTCTCTTCTGTAGCTCCGACTTCACTAGAGTCAGTGCCCTAGTGTCAGTAGTG